GGTTCTTGGTCTTCCACCTTCTACTGGTCCTCCTCCTCCCTTAGAGTGTCCACAGCCTGTCTCGTCCCAGCTACAGTTGCAGCCTACCTCCCCTTTGCCTGCTCCTTCTCCCTACACTGGTCCTACTGGAGGTCTGGCTGAGCGTCGTGAGCCTGCGTCTCGCCCTGCGTCGCCTGTCCGTGCTGCTCGCACTAGTGGTCGCGGTTCGCGTCAGCGTCCTCCTCCTGTCCCTGGCACGCACCGGATGTCTCTGCGTCCGTCCACTGCTCCTCTGCGTGCCCCTTTGCCTTCTCCTCCTGAGTCCTCTCTTCCTGCTCTTGCCGACCCGGAGTCGGACTCTCTTCGTGCTGCCAGTCCTACTGTCACGCGTCTCCTTGCTATTGTTGTCACTGACCCTTCTTTCGAGTCTACTGCTGCGTCTGCTCTCGTTACTGAGCTCGTCGACTTTGCTGCTCGCTGTCGCTTAGACTACGCTGCTAGTCTTGTCGCTGAGTCTGAGTCTGTCTGTCCTCCGTCCGTCGGGGGTGAGTGTGCCCTTGGCACGGACGTCCTTGAGGACAGGCAGGAGGAGTTCCAGTGTCTGGCAGCTGCCTCACCTCATCTCGTGTCCGTACTGCTTACCCCTGAGGGAGACCCGGATGCACTTGACATCCCGACTCCGCGCTCTTACGCGGAGGCGATAGAGGGTCCCTACTCCTCTCAGTGGCAGGCAGCTATGGATGCAGAGATGGCTTCCTGGAAGTCCACAGGCACCTACGTTGACGCTGTCCCCCCTCCTGGGGCGAACATCGTCAGTGGCATGTGGATCTTCAGGGTGAAGCGGCCGCCGGGTTCTCCGCCTGTCTTCAAGGCGCGTTACGTGGCTCGTGGCTTCAGTCAGCGGCAGGGAGTTGACTACTTTCAGACCTTCTCCCCCACCCCGAAGATGACCACTCTTCGGGTACTGCTGCACGTTGCTGCTCACCGTGACTACGAGCTGCACTCTCTTGACTTCAGCACAGCTTTCTTGCAGGGCAGCCTGCACGAGGAGATCTGGCTGCGTCGCCCACCTGGCTTCACTGGGTCTTTCCCTCCTGGTACCCAGTGGAGTCTCCGGCGTCCAGTCTACGGTCTCCGCCAGGCGCCACGTGAGTGGCACGACACACTGAGGACTACGCTTGCGGCTCTTGGGTTTGCTCCTTCTACTGCCGACCCGTCGCTGTTTCTACGCACCGACACCTCTCTGCCGCCGTTCTACATCCTCGTGTACGTCGACGACTTGGTCTTTGCCACAGCTGACACTGCTGGACTCGCCTACGTGAAGTCCGAGCTGCAGAAGAGACACACGTGCACAGACCTGGGTGAACTGCGCAGCTACCTTGGCTTGCAGATCACCCGGGACAGAGCACGCCGCACCATCACCCTGACTCAGTCACACATGGTGCAGCAGGTCCTTCAGCGCTTCGGCTTCACGTACTCCTCGCCTCAGGCCACTCCTCTGTCTACTCGCCACTCGCTCTCAGCTCTGCCTTCGGATGAGTCCGTAGAGTCGAGTGGCCCGTACCCAGAGCTTGTTGGCTGCCTCATGTACCTGATGACCTGCACACGACCTGACCTTGCATACCCTCTTAGCATTCTTGCACGCTATGTTGCTCCTGGGAGACACAGACCAGAGCACATGGCTGCAGCGAAGAGGGTGTTGCGCTACTTGTGCAGTACGTCGGGCATGGGGCTAGTGCTTGGAGGGCGGAGTCCAGTGGTCCTCACTGGGCACGCGGACGCTTCTTGGGCTGACGACCAGGCTACGCAGCGGTCGTCACAGGGTTACACCTTCAGCCTTGGTTCCGGCTCTGTTTCGTGGCGGGCTACTCGCTCGTCTTCTGTTCTTGGCTCGAGTTGTGAGGCTGAGATCTACGCCGGGGCCATGGCTGCACAGGAGCTTCGCTGGCTCACCTACCTGCTGACCGACCTTGGAGAGCCGCCTCGTTCTCCTCCAGTCCTGTACGTAGACAACAAGGCCATGCTGGCCTTGTGTCGAGAGTAGCGACTGGAGCACAGAACAAAGCACATTGCTCTCCGCTACTTCCTTGCTCGTGAGCTACAGCAACATGGACAGTTGCGGCTTGCGTACGTGGCCTCTGAGGCCAACACTGCTGATGTCTTCACCAAGGCACTTCCGCCTTGTGATCATCAGCGCTTCTGCACTCAGCTGGGTCTTGTGCCCGTCTTGCCTCACTTGCTCTCCTCTTGACCTTGCTTGTACTCTCACATATATATGTACCTGCTCTTGCTTGTCTAGCTTTATATATATGTGTGTACTCTTGCATGTGAACTGGCCGTGTGGCCTTGACCCTGTGCTCGGACTGTGTGGTGACTTTGTGATCCACCCTGAGCTTGCTTTGCTTTGCTTTGCTTGACTGGTCTTGTGACCCCTTGTTCTCCCCCACTTTGCCTATGGGGGTGTGTCAGAACATTGTAGCTTATGCTGTTGTGTAGGCTATAGTGGGGTATCCCATAGGGGGTACAACCAATTAGGGTTTCATATTTGTACTCACTTCATTTCATAGTTCATTCATTCTCGTTCTCATTTTCACACCACTCTGTGCAGATTAGGGAAGGCGATCCTGTTACGTTACGTCACGTATTCGTGAGGTAAGAATCCTGCTTTCTGTTTTCCCGTTTTCGTCGTCTTGTGTGTTCCAGGAGCTCAACATAGGGTACTGGGGTTTCCGCAAGAGCTCCCCCCAACGAGTATCGTAGCTTTTATAACGTTCTGTACGTAGGTTGCACGTTATTTGCATGTTAGAAAGTGTCAAAATAGTAAAAAATATTGTGCTGCAATGTTGTACCTCAAATGTGCAGATTGAATAATTTACGTGATAATCATTGCAAACAGAGCTTAAAGGTGGTATTTATTACTATTCTAATGTATAAAACGGGAATAGATTTGGTGTACCCATGTAATTGTTGGCTATATCAGAATACAAATTTTTGTATTGTATAGAAAGTTGGAACAAATTTATTGTAGTGTCTGTAAGTGTACTGTGAACGAAATTGTATGGTGTTGGCGATGCAATTCACAGCGAGTACGCGTCTCGCGTTTGATTCGTTCCGAAAAGCTGGGAGTGGTTTCCTGTGGGTCACCACCTGTGGGTGACCGAGAGGTCACCACGCGAAGTGAAAGCTGCAGAGGTGACCCGCGGGTTACCTAGACAAGGACCCCGGGGTATCCCCCTAGGGGGTAAGCTGTGGGTAACCTGGGGGGGGCTTTTTGGGCCAAACTTTTTTGGGATGGCATGACGGAGGGGCAGAATAAACAAAATCAGTTATGTTTGAGAACTTCATGAAAGGAAATTTAATTTGTTTTTGGCTGTCATCGTCGAGCGCGCTGTGAAACGCTCGACGAGATTTAGAAGCAAGCGCGGTCAAGAGAAGTAATCAGAAATAGTTAAATGTATATATGAAAATGAAATTTCCTTCCCCCGGTGCTGGTTCAATTTGGGTCCTCTGATTGGCTACGGAACTGATCCGCAGTCAAGCTGCAAAATTTCCCGCCAAAAAGGGGACTGTAGAGGAGGGGCTACACCTAGGACAAGCATGAAAAATCTACACGATTGGGAAAGTGGACTCTCTTAGGAAGGGCTTCTAAGCCAGAACATCTGATAAGAGAGCAGATTGATGACGCCTACCACTGAAGATCCATCGTTCGAATAGCCTACTCCTTTACCAGGAGGGGTTCTGACCACCCCACGATATAAGGACGTGGTGCAGATCGCTCCGATCTCATGAATCGGTGGTCGATTGGATCAGATCCCAATCGATTGGGTGTGATTGCCCCGATCTGACGCAATCATCGATCGCCGCGCAATCTGACATATGTTTTTCTACGAAACAAGACGAAACCTCAACCGCGCCTTCCAGGCGAGCTGTATGTTTTTTCCACCTCAAATTTGGCGAAACTAAGCGACCATTTGTATCGTACAATTACAGGGTAGCCCCATTACTGGTTCGACTGTTCAAGAGATGTTTTGAAGCAGCGAGCAAAAGCGAACCTTAACGACTATAGTTACAACGTCAGCATACCCAATCTATCGATCGCAATAGGTTGCAATCGATTGCATCAGATCGAAGCAATCGATCGCGATCGACGGCAAACTCGATCGCGATCGACAGATTGAGCCCGATTGCCCAAAAGTACCCCCTGGACCTTCTCGGAATTTGTGGATTGCGAGATCGAGGCCCTGATCTGCACCACGTCCTAAGTCCTTGTACGGGTGGTTTCAACCCGACGTTCTGTGCAGACACTGTATATGACACTATGGGGGCGGTACAGTAAAGTAAGAAATGAGACAGTGACCAGTTGGGTCCAATCCCATTGGCGATGAAAACAATTGGATCCAATTGGTGTCGACGGACAACGACGAAGGACCCGAATCTTTGCGCAGGACGATGTTGCAACTGTGAACTCCAGCTCGGTCAAGGGAGAGAAAGGTTACAGCTTTCAGGACTGTCAGTATGGCTCAATTCGATTCGGCAGAGTTTGAGGTGGCCGAGTGGGGCGCTAAAATGTTGGGACAGGGTGTTTCTTCTCGAACACCCATTGGAGGCGGAGTAGAATTTGAACCTACACTGCAACCCAGTGTTACCTTTTTTATAATACATTGCGAACTGCCTCGACTAGCTGTATCCCTGCCAGCCACATATGTTAGCATAAATACAACCACAAACGGTCATGTATATGCGTAGAATTTGTGAACACACTCCCCTCAATTTCTCCCTGACAAACACCATCACAAAAAAAGGCAGTTCACAAGCTTCCTACAGAAAATGACAGTTCATTTGTTCTCTTCCTGCCACCTGTCTGACCAAAAATCACAATAACCTGTACTGGTAGATTGCTTGCATCTGCAATGCACAGTATAAATCTTCTATCCCACAACATAACATCACTAGTTGAAGTGGAATCATATAAATGAAAGAGAAGCAAGTCAGGCTAGCATGTGCTGCACCAAGTTGAAGGCCTAAGACTCTTTAAACTGAGAAAGGGCTTCTTTTGTTGCTGCTGACACAACAGCGTCAGAGGCGTTGGGCAGGTAGTAGTATTTTCCTGCAAGGCAAAAACAAAGATACAACAATCAAGGAGACACAACGAGTGATGAGATCAAAAACCTACTCCTTGCTCAAGGGATGATGTGTCCATATGCTTGCGCACACGTATGCTGCCACATGAAAGCATCCAGCACATCAAATCTGAGACTCACCATTGGCAACGCGGGCCATCTCCTTGGCGAATCCTGTCGAGATGAACTTGTTCTCTGAGTCAATCACAAGCAGAGACATGCCATACTTGAGGATCTTGCCTGAAATGTCCAGAATCTCGTCCTGCAGAGGAGAGGGAAGTGAACACACAACGATCCGGACGTTAGAAAGAGCGGGATAATTGTGCGCGAACACCAAGGGAAGACCATCACATGGGAACAACAAGGAGCACTTCAGTCAGCACAAACAAGCGACACTGGTAAGGTCAGAATCCGTAAACAGTGTTATGAATGGCTGGAGAGCGCTGCGCAAGCAACCCCAAACACAGCTGGAAGCACGCAACACACAGGTCGGCAGCACCAAACAACAGGGAGAAGAGAGAAGCAGTAGGGCCTCAGGTTGAAGACTGAGATTGGGTTGTCTCCGCACAGACAGAAGACAGCAGATGCTGCAGCTGCCTTGGTAACTAGAGTTTGCAATCCTTGGCCCTCTGTGAATCTCAGTCCCAGTAGCAGCAGAGCACAGTGAACAGTGCATGGAACACAGGGGAAGAAACGTGTAGCCTATAATGGTGAACACAGTGGGCAGTGCAGGGGACAAGGATGGCGACACATGGTGTGTCCGACAGTGAACCAATGGCAGAGACTCAGCAGCGACTCAGCAGCGGCTCAGCACAGGTGGCCTCAGAAAGATGTGATTTATGGGTTGTCAAACACAGCAGGGCTTAGCCCAGCTCTGGTTGGTCAATGGAGTGGATTCGCATCACAGGCCGGCTGGCTTCTGTGACTGTAACTATCACTGTAACTGTCACTGTGCAGGGTGCAACTGTGCCAACCTCTGCAGCACTGTGCAGCTGTGCTAGTCTGTGCACATGAAACAGTGTCAGGTGCTCCCGTTGCAATCCAGGGTGCAGGGGCATGAAGCAAAAGAAATGCCATGACTCCCTCCCATCACAGCCATCCACCACGCAATCAGATTGACGACAGCTGCTGGTGAGAAAGAGATGAACAGCTGGCCTCAGTCACGGTTGATTCTGGGTGATGTGGTTCTCAGCACCGCAGGGCTAAGCCCCGCTCTGATTGGTGCATGAAACAAGTGTTGCATCACAGGCCAACTGCTGTACCCAATTCCACAAATACAACCCAAAGCAGCCTCATTCCTCGATGAAACACCTCCCTGTCTTCTGTGAGTATGGATGTACTGTGTTCGCACATACCTTAAGCTCCTGCTGTGTGGGCTTGGGTGCGTCAGGCCCCACTGCCTCCACCTCGCCAAGCGACCGCTTGAGTGACACGTTGGCACGGCCGTCCGTGATCGCGACAATCATCACTCGCCCCACCTCGCCAGCCTTCTCCGCGTTCAGACCCACCCGCACAGCCTGATGGGAACAAGAGAAAAGGGAAGCGGCAAGGGGATGCGAGGAGGAGAGCATGAGATTTGTGTTCAAATGGCTGATCGTGATGGCCACAGTCACGACTCGCCCCACCTTGCCACTTCTCCGCATTCAGACCCACCCTCACAGCCTGACAAGAACACAGGGATGGGTAAGTGACCATCTGTAATGTAGCCCACTCGTATTGCCTAATAAACAAACAGCACACGAAACCCATTGGTGATAGGGACGATCACCACCACCTATCCCACTTCGCCATAAATCCGGTTTCCTGTTGTTAAATGCAAACAGCATTGTGGTTACTGCTACAGGCGGTTACCACCAGTCAGGCCTCAGTCAAGGTTGATTCTGGGTGATGTGGTTCTCAGCACAGCAGGGCTACGCCCAGCTCTGATTGGTGCACGAAACAGGTGTTGCATCACAGGCCAAGTGGGGAAAGGTGGTATGCCTTGCAGGCGATGGGTCTATTGTTGTATAGGGTGACGGGCGCGTATTGTGTGACACAAGGCGACGGGTGTACATAGGCTTCGACAGAAAGAGGGGGGCTATGGGGAAGCTGGGAGGGGAAGTGGGAGGACGGATAATGACAACAAAGCATTGAGGGTTACCAGGGGAGAGGGAAAAAACGAGATGGCTGTGATTAGAGAGTCAAGGGAGAGGGGGTGGCAGTGGGTTTGGGGGGTTGAGGGGATGGGCGGGAGGAGGAATGGAAAGAAGGGAGGGAGGGATGGGTTGGAAAGACCAGACGGAGCGATAGGTGCTAGGCGTTGTGACGGATGGGGACAATGGAGAGAGCAGAGAAGAGCAGGCAAGCAACATACCGTGGAAAGGCCGTGGGCAAGAGGGGAGCCACCACCGCAGGGCAGCTTGTCAAGTCGCTTCTTTGCCATGGCGATGGAGCGAGACGGCGGCAGCAGCACCTCTGCTGCCTCCCCGCGGAATGGAATGATGGCCACCTATAAACAGGCAAGGCAGGGGGGAGGGGTTGTGCAAATGCAGGTGGGGAAGGGAATGGTACACAGGGGGAAAGGGAAAGAGAGCTGAGCAATTAGTGGTCTTCCTCACTGTATATATATATATATATATATATATACAAGGAAATAGTTCAAACAGAGACTGATGCGAGGAAGAGGAGAGATGCTGTCGCCCCATCACACATCTAACCTATTGCAGGTAACACCTGGGGTCAAACCACGACCTGCCTTGCACCCCAAAGCCCTACCTTCTAACAGCTGGTATTGCTCTCAGCTGGCAACCACAAGGCAGCCCCCTTGACTTCTGAGTTGCCTCATCAGTCACTCCCTCGATTTTAAGTATCTCAAACCCGAAGTCCTTCTCTTGTATCGGGGTACCTGTACCAACCAGCCTCAACCCATCTTAACCGAAACCCGTGTAGCTCTCTGCCAGCAGCTGCATGGCGGCCGCTTGTAAACCACCTCAAAGGTCACTCGTTTTTTAAATGACTTATATCACCTTCCTAAACCTGCCTCATCTCATCCCACCTCTCCCGAAAACTCTACCTGATCATGGCTGGTGTAGCTCTCTGCAAACAGCTGCATGGCAGCCCCCTTGGCTTGTTTGTCACCTCAAAGGTCACTCTCTTTATTGAAGTTACCTGTACCACCTGCCTCAACCTGCCTCAACTACCTAATCGGAGTAAGCCCTACCTGATCACGGCTGGTGTAGCTCTCTGCCAGCAGCTGCATGGCAGCCCCCTTGGCGTTGTTCATGCGGTTCAAAGCCATGCTGCCACTCGCGTCCACCACGAAGATCACCTGCAGCAACAAGCAGGGGACGCATTTGATAATGAATGCACGAATTAGGGCGCCTTGGTTCAATAATACGTGTGTGATACATGCTGCTATCACTGACATGCTAGATTCGTGCTTTCTGCCCCTCTCACTTCACTGCAGCTTCTGGCCCCCCTACCACTGCAGATTCTGACGAACAAAACTCCCTTCTACACTGTGGTTAAGTGGGACTCACCAGGGCACCAGCCTTGCGTGCCATGCGCTTGGAGCGCATGTCAATCTGCTCCACGTACACCGGCCGCGTGTTGCCCGACTTCTGCGCTCGCTCACGGCGCAGCTTCTGGAAGGGCGCTGCTGCTCGCAGGGTGGCGTCCACTGCCAGCCGCCTCACTTGACCCTGCACGCCCACGTGATCAGTATAGGGTTGTTGGGGAGGTGGAAAAATTGGAGCAAGTGAATTCTGAATCAACTGACGAATTAAATGGCGCAGCAAATGGTTTCAGAAGTGGCATCTATGTAACACATTAAGATACTGACATTGCATGGACAAGGGAGAGAGGCGGAAGGAGAGGGCGAGGGGGAAGCACGGACAAAGGGAGAGAAGGCGGAGGAGAGGGCGAGGGGGAGGTGTGGACAAAGGGGAAGAGGGGGGAGGAGAGGGGGAGAAGAGGGGGAGGAGAGGGAGAGGGAAAGGGGAAGGGGGGAAAATGGGGGGATTCCAAGCGGGAAGCGGGAAAAAAAGCGGGATAATCCATGTCTCATCACCTACTCTTTCAATTATCTGAGCTAGGACTGAGAGACGCTCACCTTAGGGAGCATGGGCTTGATGTATCGCCCTCTATCCTCTGAGAAGATGACGTTCTTGGCGCGGCCCGCCTTGCCCTTGCGCCGCTGCGCCTGCTGCGCGAACATGAGCAGCTGCTGGTCCACCACGCCGCCCTCCGCGTCGAACACAAACTCCTCTGGAATCTGGTCCGGCTGCTGCTCGTCCTGGTCCTCGTCCTCGTCCTCGTCCTCCTCGTCCTCCTCCTGCTCCTGCACTCCCCAGCGGTTGATGCAATAAAAGCACAGGTGAGAACGAGGTCAGAAATTAGAAGACTGGAACGGGAAGGATACAGGTTGGAGCCCTTTACAGCGAGAGTGACCTATGTAATGAGATGAGAGTATCATTGGAACAGCTTTTAATCCAAAATCGCGATCTCAACCCCATCCCATCTCTTCTTTCTCTCCATCCTTCCTCTGCTCCCAGCGCAAGCTTTTATCTCCGCGCACATTAGCATCAGACGCATGTCATCGTCGCTCTTCTCATCCTTTCCTGATCCTCGTCCGTCTGATGATGAATGAAGTAGTGCAAAGAACCAGACTTCAGTGCAACATCATCACCTGAGACTGCTATCGGCTCACCTCTTCTTGATCCTCGTCCTTCTGCTGATCCTGGGGCGGGGATGGCGGCGGTGGTGGCGGCGGGGCGTTCTGTTGCTGGTCCTGGGGCATGTCGATCACGGTGGCGCGAGGCAGAATGACCAGCTCGACCTGCATTACATGCACGATGCGGACAGAACAGATAACGGCCGAAGAAAAACAAGGTCACAATGAGGAATGAAGAGATTGACCAGGCAAAAGGTGGAAGGTACACGGATGACCAGTAGGCAGAAGGCGAGCCAAATAGTGAAAAGGGGAGAAACGAGTACGGGGTTTCTTCTGGAGCAAATGTACGCTTGTGAGTGACTTCGAGTCCACGTGGAAAAAGAGCCTCAAGTTAAAGACAAGCGCCAATTTAAGATTTATCTAGGTCCATCTGCATTCAAAACAAGTCCTTCGAGCCTTCCCGTTTTGCCAAGGATGGACCATATCAGCCTATCCTACACAGTTTCCATGCAATTGTAGGTCAATGCAGAAGAGGAGAAAAGAAGTGCCAGAGGAACTCACCGCCCTGCGAAGGTCGTCCGCGCTGACTCTGTCCCTCCCTTCCAGCGCTGCTGACGCCATCGCCACGCGCTGTGCAAACAGCTCCGCTCGGTGCCCCTGGGAGGATCGAAGGGAAGAAAAGTTGTCAGATGGATGTTCTCTATTACGAAACGCTTCATTCACTTCTGGCCCCACCCAAGACAAAGTAACGAAATACCGAAACGTCTCAAAATGAAAATGAAGAATGGCACCACCCGCGGATGGTCTCTGTGTGACGAGAGAGTTCATCTGCTCGCGGCTCATGTTGACATCATTTGAAGGGCCCCCCACCCCATCCAAGAATTATCAAGCTAAGAATGCAGTACCACCTGGCACTGCCAGCGGATGGCTTCTGTGACGAGGTACTTCATCCGCTCGCTGCTCGTCGAGACCTCTCCCGAGCGAGCATTTCCTACAATTCTCGAAAACTTCACAAAAACGGCAGGTGTAAATGTGATACCAACCTGGCACTGCCCGCGAATGGCCTCTGTGACGAGATACTTCATCTGCTCGCGGCTCATCTGGACGTCCTTGAGGTACTCCCGCGCGAGGATGACCTGCGTGCGTGCGGCCTCCGTGGCATCGTTCGAATCCACCAGCACCTCCTTGGCACGATTCTGGAAGTTCATCGCAATCTCCACCGCTGACACACGGTCCCCAAAGTCCTGAACGACGTCGGCACTGAAAAACGACACGAAGGAGAGAGGTTGGTGGTGGTGTGGGGAGGAGTTGGGGGGGGGGGGAGGAGAGGGGGGGAGGGAGGAGGCGGGAGAAGCAAAGAACATGGGGAGAAAAAGGGACTTTACTTCTACGACGCAGAAACGAAAAGGGCAGTTCAAAAGACCAGAGAGTGTGGAGCGACTGCAAAATAGGCTAACACAAATTGACCAATGCCTCGTGGACAAATCTTGTGGATGTGATACACTTGCAACGTCTGTAAGATGCAGCTTGCGCAATGACGAAGAAGCTCGGCTGTCAAACTTGCCGAAATGGACGATGATTACCTGAGGTTGATGGCGATACGGTCAAGAAGATGCTCGCGAACATTGCCCTCGTCCGGGTTGTACGTCGCAATCAGAAGCGGCCGGCACGGATGGCGGAAGCTCACACCCTCGCGCTCGATAACATTCACTCCGTCCGTGAGCACGCTGAGGAGCAGATTCACGATGCCGTCGTCCAGGAGATTAATCTCGTCGACGTAAAGCACACCACGGTGAGCCTCTGCCAGGAGGCCTGGCTGGTACACTGTAGTGCCGGTCCGGACGGATTCCTCGACATCGACTGATCCGATAAGGCGATCTTCCGTGATACCCAAGGGAATCTGAAGGAACGGGCAAAAATTAATGTCAAATGAGAAGAAACGCTTACAGACGTAAGGAATAGAGCACGGAGTGGTAGGGCATTGGGGAAGGAAAGAAGTGAAAGGCCTGCAGCATTTGGGGGAAGCAAGACGTTAGAAAAAAAAGACGGGAACGCGAAGGAAGGGGTGGGGAAGAAAAGACGGGAATGCGAGGGAAGTGGTGAAGAGCAGCAAGAGGGAGCTTAAAAGGGGGACAAGGCAAGGGGATTAAGAGTACGGAAAAGCGGTAAGACGAGCCAGTGTGTTAATCTTCATAGATTTTAAGCTGTTACGAACCTGCACAAAGGGAGCGCGGATAATCTTGGTCTTCACGGTACCGTCCTCGTTATACTGCACGCGGTCCCTCAAGCCCTGCTCCCACCTGACAGTTGAGCAGCAACGAAATAAGCACAAGACAACAACCGCGTCGGAAAGGATCGCCCAAAAACAAACTTAATAAAAATCTGATGATTCGCAAAAAAACAAGCAGAGAAAGAAAGGACGGAAGGAAGGAAACCAAAAAAAAAAAGGCTTGCTAAAGTCAGGGCTTGAGGGATCGCGTGGATACTGCTGCTGCTCACTCCTGGGGGTTTTCTGGGTCAGCATTGGCGGTGCTTCCGTCGACGACCTCAATGGGTGGAAGCACTCCGTGCAGCCCGCGAGCCATGACGGTCTTGGCAGTGCCTCTCCGGCCAGCAATGGCAATTCCGCCTATCTTCATGTCCACGGCTCCGAGGAGCAGCGCTGATTTAATAATTTCCTGCAGAACCACGTCGGATCCCACTTGAGTACAAGAACAGCCACACGATGTGGAATTTCTTCAGAAAAACGCAGGTTGTCAAGTAAAATCAGGGTTAAGGTAAGATCAGCAGTTAAGCATGCGTCTACTGTAGTGAAAAGGGTTTAGGATCCACCTGTCCGACAACTGAGGCCAACGGGAAGTACTCCCGACCGTACTTATTTCCCTCATTCTCGAAACTTTTCTCAGGCCCTGACTTCGCAGCGGTCTCCACAGCAGCGACAGCTCGGCAAGCCTTCCTGGCAGCCTTAGAGGCCTTACTTCTGGCCCTGAGAGGCTCTACTCTTTTCAGGCTGAGACCAGTGAAGGAGGAAGCAAGTGACGCTGCTTCTGCGGGCTTGGCAACGCGACCCGAGCCAAGCTCGGGAACAGCAGCGATGTTCTGAGCCACCACATTGGTTAGGCTTGACGCCATGGCCAGTGAGCGGACGGGGCCTTGAAGAAACAGCTGAAAAAGGGCGGCAAATCCCTGGTTGGAGCCTTCCCGCTACGGCCTAACTTGGCGATTACCAATCGGATTTCTGAGTGCTGCTCTTTGCCTTGTCTTTGCTCTCAGAAAGTCTCCAGAGTTGGCTTTGCTTGTTCCACAGACCAGACAGGCTGCCTGCTGGATGACACAGGCAGGAGAAACGGAAATTCTCCTGGCAGTTCCAAATTCCCTGTGTTTCAGCTCTATGGGGAGATCTCGCGGCCAATATCATAGATACTCAAAGTATTCCCGAGCAGATTCTCAGGTGTAATCACCAACAGAAACACAGTTTCGCGGTATAGTAGTAGGTGTTTCTTGTTGTTTTCTGAATACAGTCACGACAGAAAATGCAACACCTGAAAAAAAAACTTGTAGCGAACCTAGATGAATTTCGAGACAGATCAACCTCAACTACGGGAAGCCGCCCACTTCAGGAAAAATATATTGCACCCTCTTGACCCAAAAAATAAAACCCAATCGAGAAGGGATGCGACTCGGGAGGCATCAACCCAAAAAACAATGCCCTTTACCGTGTTTAGGGTTGATCCCTCCCGTAAATGCGTCCAGATTCTATAGGGGTTTAATTTTTCTGCCCTGTCATAAATTTACGTACTTTAATTTTACAAATCCAAGTCGGGAGGGTAAACTAGATAGTTCTCTTTTTGTCACCTCCCAAACATTTCGACCAGCGTAAACAATGTGACTAAACAGCGACAACCAATCAACGTCGAGAAAGTCCAGGCTGATTACACCTGAGAGCCCGCTCGGGACTAATCTGAGTATGTATGAAGTTGGCCGGAAATCTCGTGGGCGATATCCGCCGGGGGCAATCGGTAACCCATCCAGTTGCTGACTGGAGGTGTGCAGTGGGTCGTCCGTGGGCCACGTGGCGGAAATTTGGAAATTCCTAATTGCCTCTGGATATGGGCCGTGGCGTAGCCAATCAGATGCCTAAAATGGTCACGGTGCGCCAGAAGCTTGGGATCATTGTTGCAAGCGACGTCAGCATGAAGCAGCTCAATGTAGCGAAAGAAACCGAAGACGAGCGACAGTTACTCGATCTGATATTGTAACCAGCACATCTAAGATTACCCTGGTTGTGTTGGAATCTTGCATGAAGTTTTGAGCTGAATCTGGTATGCGTAACCACAATATTTGGAATATTTTTTGTGCTGCTTGCTCGGATGAAAGACATTGCGTACCACTAAATTGAGCACTCAACGTTGGCACCGCAGCATTGAGCAGTACAGAACCGGGCACATCAACTTTGGAGAAAAAAAAAAAAAAAAAAAAAAAACGTAAAATAAAGCATCACGGTGTACCTCGATCTTACTAGTTGTCACAATGTGAATGAAATGACCCACGAAGGCATACAGAGGGGGGTATAACTAGCCTAAAAAGCACACTTCCAAACATATATATGTGTACGTTGACACACCCACTTGGCCAAGTAAGGTGATGTGCCTACAAAATGAGTAACAAATCAGAGCGTATTCCTACGGGGCCACCTCGTATCAAGAATGGTACTCCTGCCTGTAAATTGACAAGTTCGCCAAAACCTCATATCAGTAAAAGTTGCCGGTTAACCCACATGTGCGACTCCATCAACAGCTGATGTGGCATGTTGCGACCCAGCATGAACAAGTTTGCACACTTTGCACGTTCGCGCGCGGCGCACGACTGCCACCGTGTGCAGTTTCGCATGACTGTTTGTCGGCCGCATTCACTGGACTGACGACTTCGTGTCAACTGGAACCGTGCGTCGGAAAATCAGCACGTTCACTTCTGGGTGTGCGAGCATTTTCATTGGTGCGCTGGTTCGGTCTATTCTTGATATAAGGTGTTTTATACCGTAAACAAAAGTCAATTTCATTCTTGATACGAGGTGGCCCCGTAGGAATACGCTCTCAGGGCGACACTATTAGTCCAAACTATGAGGCAAAGGGTCACACGACCGGCTAGTAAGAGCAACAAGGTGTATGTGTAAAACGTAGCGGAAACGTGTTTGTAGCGGAAACGTGTTTGTAGAAACAACAAGATAGAAATCTTGCATTGATCATTGAAAGGTCGAATGAAAACACAATGATGACTCAATGATGATGATGAAGTGACACAGCAGGGTATATATGCATCCAGCTACCCCTCCAGAATGACCCCGTTCACACGAATAATGGTGTACCAATAATTACCCTCTACCCTCTAATAATGCTGACCTCCAATAATTCTGGCCCTACAATAATTGTGACAATAATTGTAGGACCTGGAGGCTTATAAAGAGGACTACACTAAAACCGAACAGCACACTGGTATACAATATTCGTTATACTGTATTCGGATTTCCAACACTCCCCTTTGCTGTAGGTTTTAGTGAATCCGTTTTCCTTGGAGGATGGGGTGGACGAGGTGGTGTACCACCACAAGGTAGGGGTGCGCCAAAACCAAGCTAGGGTTTGGTGTTGGCCAAGCTGCTTGTCACTGTAGCACCTTTCCCCTCCCAACCTTTGGGCCTTCCAAACTCCAACCAAACCACCTTCCTTCACGTTTTCCAATCTCTCCTTCCAATCTCGACATGATAGATCGAAATCTAGAAGGTAGTGGCTGCTGCTGAGGAAATCATAGCAGCTCCATGGCGAAATCTCCTCAAAACCAAGGCGGAATGCCCTTAGCGCACGCCGAATTTCCGAAACCGTAGGCTTTACGACACACGATTGTCACTACTACGGACTTTCCCGCACGCCTTCTGCGCTACAACGCGACGACCACACTTGACGCACGTTTGCGACGATCGCGGTTGCGGATGACGCGAATCGGTAGCGGATAACGCATGGCATACGACTGGCGCAAAACTGCATTGGCGGGCGCACACTTCGCGTGATAGAAGCGACGACCTTGCGTTCGTCAGCGGCTGACGATCTGTCGCGCGCCTGTTGCATCTTCGTATGCCTTTATCCCCACGCCTTGGAAATTATGCCAAGTTTGCTCAAACTTCACCCATGTTGCCCTGTGATGCTCCCCATACACTCCAGCAGACACACGGTAGCAGCCGGAGTTGCCGAACTCCATCTGCTGGAGAGCTGCGCATGCCGAAGCACTCCAAGTATGCCGAACACTACACTTCATGTATGCAGAAATTCCCATTCCAAGTACGCAGTGCACACCAAGTATGCAGTCTTGTGCACCACAGGTATGCAGTACCACCAAGTTTGCAGACGTGTGTACACCAAGGTATGCAGAGACGTGCACGCCAGGTATGCAGAAATGAGTGCTCCCTTGTATATTCTCCATTCTTCCCTCAGGTGGTACCGTTCATCCGCAGCAACCAGTCGCACGCTACCGCTGCATCACGACGACGGACGGCGACCGGCTATAACCTTTCTGCCTGCTCCCCCTGCCTATTGGCAACCCTTGGTAAGTATGTCTTCCCCACATGCTTCTTGACTCCATGTCCCACTTCTGTGCCATCAGATACACTCCACACCCCACCTCCCCCCCAACCATGTGCTTGTAGTCATGCACGTAACCGCGTACACAGCTAAAAGCACGTGAGTGAGTGTGGAGTTAGGTGATGCCATGTTGTGCAGCACAGCTCGAGGAGGCCGCACAGGTGAGTACAACACCAGAATCCTTGACTTGATGATTGCCTTGACCAACCAGCAGATTGCAGGTGAGATGCTGCTTGCTTGGCTTGTCCTCCTCATTTCCCACATCATCATTTCCCATTCCTTCCGAAATGGAGACACCTGTCGCAGGAAAGTTATCAGCTGTGCCTCCACTTCCTTCGGCTGCACAGACTTTATCAGTTGCAGGTGAGTCATGTTCTATTGGGTCTGCTCCATCTCCTCCCGAATCCACCGTGGACCTTTGTCCTTCTCCCCCTGAAGTCCACATCAGACTGTGGGGTGAGACTTTATCCGATGTATCCGCACGATGCAGGCTTTGTGTACCATGCGGTACTGAACAGATGCATGTGCAGAACGCGTGCTCAAGTGCACTCCAGGTGTGCGGAAAACCGTGCTCCCATGTGCGTCCAAGTGCACACTAGGTGTGCGGGACAGTGTAACCCCTTCATAACCATGCTTCTTTGATGACGCATCATCACGGGACTGACCAGGATCACATGCGGATGTAAGTGCATGCTCATACTGCACCACGAGCACTCCATCCACGTTCTTGCCAAGTCCAATCTGCACACACTCCTCTCCATCAGTCATGGTGACCTCCGTGTCTCCATTGACAATGGTATTGATGTGCGCTCCCTTTTTCAGCAGCTGACAATAGGAGAGCAGATTGCTCTTTAGGCCAGGTACGTAAAAGACTTCGGTGTAGCGAACTGTTGTCCCATCAGGTGCCGTTGCTCTGATCGTTCCCGTCATCACGCTGCTCAGCTCGCTCCCATTAGCGAGCTCCACATAAACAGGTTCGTCCAGCTCCACATGACCTCGGACAAGCGCTGGTTTGAAGAGTCATGTGCTGGCTACATCCACTATCCAGCATCCAAAATGACGCTTTAGATGGTGGTAAGGTAGCTTGTGACAATCCCACCGTTGCAATGCATGTAAAAGTACGTTGCTTGTCTTCCCTGGCTGCCCCTTGCTGTTTTGACGCACTGTTGTCACGCTTGGGGCTACGACTCCTTCGTGAAGGGAACGAACGGCTGTCGCTGGTGTGCCATTTTGCCTTTCCACGGGTATGCGGTTCCCACCCTGGTGGTGTCCAGCTAGGGGGTGCCTTGGTACACTTGAAGAAGGGATGGCCTGGCTCCTTGCAGTACCAACACACGAGAGATGAGCGACTTGCATCTCCATCCTTGCCATGCGTTTTCTCGCCAATCGACCCCTCCTTCCCGCTATTATCCTTAGTAGTTGGAGAAGGTGAGGGGTCTCCCCTTGCTTGTCCAGCCATGCGAGGTGGGCGCCGGTCACGGTTATCCTTCGTGATGAGGTCGT